GGCTGGGACTCGGCTCTTGGCACTGGCTGTGGATTTATACAGGCCCAGAAGCCAAAACAATGAGCTCATGGGCAAGAATGCAGCCGTGGGAAGTTTGGCAGGCAGGGCGAACTGGCTTTTTGAACCAGGATGGGAAGAGCTGTAACAGAATCTCCCACGGGAACTGGGTTAGGAAGAGAAAGCAGCCTCCATTCAGGATTCGGGGTCCAGCTGAATGGCGTTTGGAGAGGGCCTCTCTGAAAGCTGGAAAGGTCCCTGAAAACTGGCGTGTGTGGCTCCGAGCGGAGCATTTGCCTTGCACGTGTGAGGCCCCGGTCCACTCTGCCTCCTGACTGCAAAAAGTTAATTCGAAGGAAAGAAACGAAGGGCTGGAAAAACCTTCAACCACCTGAGAATATGCAGCTGTACACGGAGGCGGCCGGGATCTGATCCCTAGCACTGCCAGGAGTGACTCCTGAGCACTGAGCCCAGTGCTGAGTACCACACCTTGTGGCGTGTCTCCCAAACCATGAATACAGTAAAAACTTGGTTTCTTTTACTGGTTGTGACCCTTGATGGGTAAAGCTGAGGCAATGGGTGAGCAACCTAGATGATGTCAATCAAGACAGCTTTGTTTACGCCAGGTCTAACAATCCAACTCCTACCCCAAGATCCAAATAATGGCCATGCTCCCGAGACTCTATGCGTTTGGGGTTATCTTAGTGAAAGAGGGAACAATGGCTCTGTCTTCTTTACTCTCCAGACAGACATAATCTGCCCCACTGACTTCGAAGACCAAAGAGCCGTCATTTCCCTATCAATATTTTTCAGTCCTCAAATGGAATAAACGGGATGGACTCTATTCACTGTGTCTGGTGAAGGGGTAGGCAGGCAGAGCAGGAAGATAGAATAAGATCTTCCTCTGCTTCAGAGAGGTTTCCCCAAGTCCATGCCGTGGTGCGTGTCTTTTTTCCCACTCATGAAGCGTCAGCTTCACCATTTCTCTTGGAACCTTCTGCCACCTTCTACTTTCCTCACCTTGTTCTATTATTCCCTGTTTTCACTATACTGCTTTGTGCATTATATTCTAATTTTGCATAGTTTGGGGGCAGGTGGTTATTTTCAGCTGTCTGCTACCAGATTTTGAGCTCTTTCCGATCTACTTTGTCTAGGACTATCACTTCTCCTAGCTTTAAACTTTTACCACAATTGCATCATGCACAAATTCTTCAGCATCTCTTAATTCTCTGAAGAAAAAAGACTTAATCACTTAAATTACCACAATAGACTCGAAATGTAACACTGGTGGAGTACTAACACACTGGATGATTTGAATTATCTGGGCTTGTCCCACACCCTCAATTAAGAAAAAAAATCAGGATCCAAAGATCCTGCATCTAGTTGTACTTCAGTTATTTCCTAGTCTCTCTGACCAAGTTTCTGGACAGGAGGAATTCTTGATAATCTCCAGCACCCAACAGTAAGTACATGGCACTGCCATGGATAAGTGACCCAATAAACGTGACTGAGAGCTCATTCAAGATCCTGAAGTTCAATCGATGCTGAAAAATTCTGAATGAGCCAATGTAATCCTTGAGCAAGAGAGAAGGCAAACTTATTATAAGCAGTGGCAGAGCCAAGTCATTAGAAATAAAGACGTGAGTTGATCAAAATCCACAGTGGTATCCCTGTTCCGAACACAGAGGAACCATTTTATGAAGGTAAGGAAAGGAAGTATAAAAGAGAAAGCAAGCCTGGGAACAAAAGCCTGACACATTTCGCCTTTTAGCTCAGTCATTACTAAAGAACTCCGAATTTTCAGTCTGCTACATTTGCCCTGGAGGCAGATTCCGAACCCCCTTTCCACATACTTCACATAACTAAGATAACACTGTAACAACTCTGAAGCTAAAAGACAGTTACTGCAAATCTTGAAAGAGGGCTCAAGAAGACACAGTTCTGTAATCACTGAAGGAGCAGAGCCCAGGGAAACTAGGGTAAATGCAGACTGATCGTCTCAACCCCAGGAATTAGTGGGCCCAAGGGCTGTGGGTGCCTGCTGGAGCCAGGACACACACCGGTTGTACGATTATTCAAATTTAACTTTTGTAAAGTCCTCCAGCTGTCACAACTGCTTTAAAGAATTTTTTTTTCTGAAAGCAATCAGTATGAAGCAAGAGCTGGCTCTGAAGTCGCAAAACAGGAACTGAAATCCGTCTGGTTGTGTCAAATTGTTATTTTGACTCTAGTGACTTGTTACCTGGTTACCATCTGACCACTTCTAAAGGGTCACTAGGGAACACTGCCACAGTAGAGCAATCATCCTGGACTGCGGGACCTGGAGCCTTGCACCTCTTGCTCTCTCCAGTTCTCACTCGGGGTGGACTTGGACAGGCCAGCTTTGTTCTGCCTTTGGGCCAGACAGACTGCTCAGGGACTGTTCCTGGCACTGTGCTCAGGAATGACCGCTGGCCATGCTTGGGGGACCTACTATAATGGTGGGGATGAGAACTGGGATCAGTCATGTCCACGGCAAGTAACCGTACTATCTCCCGCTCTCTCTTTTCTAAGGACTGTGGCAATCTAGGAACAAAAGTGTGTGGGAGAGGTGCTGGTTCCCAGCAGGACCATTTTTCATTCCTCAAGACATCACCATCTTCCAGCTTTCTGCTCATCTTTAACTTGCAGAAATTTTCTGCTCTGGGGCAAAGGGGTGTCTTGCAGGTGGCTGGCCTGGGTTTGACTCTCAGCATCCCGTACTGTCCTGAGCCTTGCTGGGGTTGGCCCCCAAACCAAACTGAACGTCTGCTCGATCGGGAAAGCGCGCTTACTTCCGTTATGGGAAGTTAGCACAAACCAACTACCACAGAACTGACTTGCTGTTTTCTCCTAAGAATTTAGCTCTCGGGGACGGAGCCATCGTACGCTGGCCTTGTGTGTGGCTGACCCTGGCTCAACCCAACCACCCATGTAGTCCCGAGGCCCTGCCAGCAGTTAGTTCCTGAGAGTACAGCCAGGGTTGCCCTCACCTCAACAAAACCCAAAACAATACCAACTAATCTTAGCCTCAGAGGCTTAGGGCGGTATATTTGTTAGAGGGTGTTACGGGTAGTCTGTTAAATACTGGACTAAATACTGTTAAAATCTTGCCTCAAGATAGCTGGGATAGCGATGCAGACAAACACCGAATGGGGGAAAAGCACAAAATCCTGTTTGCTTCATTAGCACTTGGTGTTCAAGGTTCAAGGCCAATAAGCAAACCATGCATTTGCACACTTCCCTGGTATTTCTACTCCCTCTAAAGGTAGCTGAAAACACAAGCCTGGGTTTCTGAAACCAACTTATTCTAACCAGCTCTTGGGTACAAATCAGAGAATCCTAACAAAAAACTTGGTGTGCGTCCTTCTGCCTCCTTCAAGAGGCTGAATAAGGAATGAGAACACTCACCCTAAGGCCATTCCAACATTTTGTGACTAAGAAAACCAGGGCAGAAATTGTAGTTTTGCAAAGAAGCTACCCTCCAGATACAAAAGCGATGCGTTTCATTAAAAACCTACATCCCTAATTTGGAAGAAGTGGTTTTTCTGAAGGGGACTGTCCTCTGCTCTAATGTAAATCAGCTTTATGGGATTTGTGTAAGTAACTCACCTGTATTTGCTCAGCTGACTTCCCTAAAAGACCTTTAGAGGGGGAAGGAAGAAAGCTAAAGATTAGAAAACACGGGTACCACACCTTGCATTTGAATAGAAGATTTATTATTTTCTTCTCAGGAAAAACAGGAAGTTAGGGAAACAGACTACATTTTACAGCCCACATCAATTTGTAGTTGGTCCTAACCCTTCCTGGCACAACTGTCAACAGCATCAGCTGTCACACCAGAACCACGATGTTGACCTGGAGCACTCGTGCACACAGGACACTGGAGGACTGCAGGTTTTTCCCTGAGAGAAGCGTAAGACAGAAGTTGCTGAAAGACATTTTTCCAGGCAGCCCCTCCCCGTCCATTTCAGAGGATCTGCCTGAACTACACAGCTAGTCAGCACTCAAAACACTTGCCTCCTCTCCCTGTAAGCCAACTCCCCCTTTCCTGGGAAGCTGGGTTCCCAAAACTTCAGCTGAGACCCTCCCATCTTCACTTTTGCAGTCACACCTGGTAAACTGGGAAGCAGAACTCCTAACTCCACCAATTTACACCTCCACGCTTATTTCCACGGGTGGGCATGGGGAGACAGGGCCTTTTAGTCACCTTAACCAGATCTTCAGATTAATTAAAAACTACATAAAGTGCTTTTAGATCCTTAGAGATAGACATGATATAAATAAGTGTCGTATGATCAAGAAGGATAAATACACAGGTAAAAGAGCTCTAGCTAGATGACATTATGGCTTAGAGACGGGCAGGCACGGTCATTCTTCGCTATTACATTCTTAGTCATTTAACTTCTGCCTACTTATCTGAAGTCCACAGACTAAAGGTCACGTAGTTTCCAAATCACCCTAGACTCAGGGTTAACTTTTTATTCAGCTTACCAGTAGCTTTCATAGAACTCTTGGGGTTTAACAAAATCCACTTCTATGAATTTTAAATGAGCAGACTCAAATGCAAGGGAACCGAGAAACGACTTTGTTCCCTCTTCTGTAAAGTCCCAAGGGGACTTTTGAAAGGAAAATCAGGAGCACACCAAAAAGGGACTAGTTTTCAGAAAAGGATTCTTCCCTCCTCCTGTCACAGCAACCAAGATACAACACACCTTCCAAGGGGACAGTCTCCAAGCATCTCAGTCTGTGGACTCCCGGGTGGGAGCTACTCAGGCTCCCTTTCTGGGAGTAAACTGCCACAAACTAGAAGGGCAACGAGGGGTCAGGGATGGCAGGGTGGGTGAGGATGGAACTTACATAAATATCTGTACAGGAAGCAGAACAAGCAGCAAATAAGAAGAAGAAAAGAAACTACACAACACCGAATCTTTAAGCCAGAGATGTCAATACAAAAATTTAAAACAAACCTTGGGAATCATTAATAGAAATAAAGCGACTATTTTATTGACATACTAGGCTCAGACCTGTCTTAACAAGCAAGCCTAATAATAGCACCATGGTTAGACTCTTGCCTGCTTTCCCAAGACATCATTTTACAATTTATTATGCAAACCAGGGATCAAATGTCTCTCTCATCCACCTGATGGGATCTTTTTATACACATACTGCTAGTAATAGGAAGCCCCCTTTGGAACAGCTGAAAATCTTTTAGCAAAAGCTTTGAAGATGAGCTCATGAACTCAGTTTAATATCACTGTAATTAGGTTAAATAGAGCGCCAACGTGTAGCTGCCCAATCAGAATCCACTGTCTCTAAGTTAATCAGTCTGTGGCCCACAGCCCCCCCCCCCAAGCCCAACAAAAACAAAACTTAAAACAAAACTCCACTTTGAGTCAAAAACCTACATGTAACAAAGTGAAAGGACTTGTCTCCATTCTCTAACATCTCAATCACAAGTTTTGTTTGCTTGGCCCCCCCCACCCCCATAAAAAACCTATCTAAGACTACTTACCAAAACCAGTAAGAAAATTAAAGCCTGCATATATTGAAGTTGTTCCACTACAACCAGGTTGCATATAATCACATCAATCGAATCCACATACACTCACAACTGTGACCAGGACAAAGTTTATCGTAGAAAAAACTGTAAGAAACAGGCTCCTAACTACCTAAGCTGTAAGTTTCAAAAGGGTAAGAAAACTAATAGAAATTTGAGACCCCCTTTACAGTTCAAAGAAATAGACTTTCTGTAAAAATATAGAGTTTTTACAGACAAATACATTTACACGCTGCTTTCGATCTTAAAATTAGGACACTCCACATTTGTAACTGTAATAATTGAGCCTTTAAGTCAAGTATTCTTGGCCATTACGAGGCTAATAAACTAAGAATCATCCAAACCAAGCCAACTAGAACAAATACAGGTATAAAAAGTCCTGCACACTTAAAAGACTTCTGGGAAAGTTACTTTCGAGTGAGGAAGAAGCTTCCCCCTTCAGACGCTTGTACAGTGCTGAGGCTTCTAGTCATAGCTTCATCTCTGACCCATTTTGCACAAACCACTGGCATCGTTAGTGCTTCTCTTTTACACCACCAGAAATCAATGAGTTCAGTGGGCAGGTTTCATGACTCCTATGACTAGCCTGGCTACTGGCCACTCTCCTGGTTCTGGAAAAGGGAAAATTAAGTCTCTCCACCCTACCAGTTTCACTAACTCTAAGGCCCTCCTCCACGGCCTCCCGAAGTGTTCCTGTTGCTGAAACTGAACTCTGCTTCCTTCGGACAGTGACTCTTCACAGGGGGACTACTTCTCCCACGCATTTATTCCTATTGGCCACAATCCTCTCGCCACGCCCTGTCCTACTCAGCCCGAGTAGAACTCTTGGAGGTTACAGCCTGGGCAGCTCGAAGTCCAACTTCATAAATACATTTGATTTCACAGCAGTCGTTACGTGGTTTTGGTGGCTGGAGTTGGTTAAGAGTCATTATTGCACTTCAAAAGGCTATCTTATCAGATACGCCAAACCAGCTCCGACTCCAGCAACACCTGCAAAAGCCAGCAGCACGTTCCGGATGCCGCCTTCTAGATCCTCTACGTGGAAGAACTCCACAAACCCATCCTGGAAGAGAAAGAACAAACAGTCACTTCTCAAGCACGGGTTTCCACTGGCTTAAAAACTACTACTGCAAGAAGGTGGTCTAGTCCACGCTGCCACCACCCTCCCCCCCCCAAAGCAATGAGGAACCGAGCGGTTCAAAAACCCGTCTCTCGTTCAGCTCAGTCTGCAGGGACACACAGCAGCCAAGCCTGATTCTCCAGCAACCACCTAGGCCACGTCCACAGCATGGTGTAGGCACAGCAGGGAACGCGGGAGGAAATGGTTGGCCCCAAGAGAATTCCCAGCAGGGAATGACTCCAGGATAGGCACCCTTCCCACCTCTTTTGCCTTAGACGCCCTGCAAAGTGCTCACCATCCCCCCGTGATCTGAACGAGAGAGAACACTTTTTTTTTTTACCTTTTCAGGGGAATCCTCCCTAGAGGGACTTCAACTTCCGGCTACCCTCAAGTTCTGCCACCCGATTCGACTTGGCAAGGCCAGCATTGCCCAAGGTGGTCAGGCACCTCCCTAGCTCAGAACCACCTCGGGGGTCTGGCTTTGCAAGCGGCCTACGGGGGTCCTGCTAATAATACAGGGGGATGCGCCCAGGGGGGCTGGCCAGTGATCCCCGAGCCCGGGCTCCGCCAACTCCTTTCGACGGCCACCCCGGGTGCCAACAGACCGGCAGGCAGGGAGCACCCCGGGGCCCCACTCACCCAGCCTCTTTGTTTGAGCAGCCAGTCCCGCTTCGTCCCGACCAGCACGTCCGTGATGCTCTCGGCCAGGGGCTCGATGCAGCCCTCCTGGTCGATGCTCTTCAAGTGCTTGGCCACGAAGGCCCCGAAGGAGATGAGCGTCACAATCCGGCCCCAGTTGGTCACGCCGTCGTTGAAGACGTGCACCATCACGCGCGACAGCGACTTGACGTCGTCCTCGTTCTTGATGTCCAGCTTGCGCAGCATGCCTGCGGGGGGGGTGGGCGATGAGCACGCGAGGCTCGCCCCGGGGGTCCCGGGGTCCCCGGATCCCCGCCCCGCGCGACCCCCACCCCCACCCCGCATCGCACCCTGGAAGGCCGTCTCGTGGTTGCGCTGCACCCCGTCGCCCACGCGCCGCAGCGTCTCCAGCGCCTTCCGGCCGGCGGCCCCGGGCGCGCCCAGCCCCTTGGCGTCCTTGGCGCCCGCCGCCTGCTCCCGCAGGTAGCGCGAGATGATCTCCAGCGACAGCCGGTACAGCGCGTCCGCGCCGGGGTCGGGGTCGGCGTCGGGGTCGGCGTCCGCGTCGGCCGGCGGCGGCGTGGACGGCAGCGACCCCTCCGCGTCCGCGCCCGCCGCCCCGGCCCGGCGCCGCCGCCCCGGCCCCGCCGGCCGCTTCCCCGGCGCCTCGGGCTCGTCGTAGCCGTCCAGCTCGTCCTCGGGCCGCACCGCGGCGCTGGCGCTGGCGAGGGCCGGGTCGGGCGTCGCGTCCGGCGGCGCGAGCAGCAGGCGCCGCCCGGGGGTGGCCGCGCCGCCGGGGCCCTCGGCGCCAACGGGCGCGGGCCGCGCCGCCCTCCGCGCGGCCGGGGGGCTGGGGGCGCCGCCGCCCCGCTCGGCCCCGCCGGCGCCCCCGCCCCCGCCCGCGCCCCGGGCCTCCTTCCTCACGCCCGGCAGCCCCGCGGCCGGGGCCGCGCCGCCGCCGCCCGCCCCCAGGCCCGCGCCGCCGCAGTACAGGTTGAGCCCGATGACCGCGTTTCTCGTCAGGCCGAAGAGCGCCATGGCCGCCGCCAACGCCGAGGCCAGGCCGGGCCCGCGCGACGCCGAGCCCGAAGGAAGCGGAAGCGGCTGTGCCAGGCCGCGCCCGGACGCCCGCTTTAGGCCCGGCCCGACGCCGCCTCCCGGAGCGCCGGCTCGCCGCACCCGCCGAGAGGGGCGGGGCTTCCGGCGCTGCGCACGGCCCCGGGGCTGGGGGCGGGGCCCGCCGGCGCAAGGCGCCAACGGCGGCTGCGCGCGGGCGCGGGGGCGGGGTCGGGGCCGGGCGGGGCCCCGGCCGTGGGAGGCGGGCCGCGGGGCCGGGCTGAGCATGCGCGCCGGGCTCGGTGCGCGCCTCCCCCCCCCTCCGCCTGCCTCGTCCCCGGCCTTACTCTGCTGGCGCCTCTCGGGAGGCTCTTGTTTTTATATTTATTTGTATTTATATTTGTATTTATTTATATTTATTTATATTTATATATTATATTTATTTATATTTATACATTTTATATATTTATATATTTTATATTTATTTATATTTATATATATTTTATATTTATTTATACTCATATTTATTTATATTTTATATTTATTTATATATTTATATATTTTATATTCATTTATATTTATTTATATTTATATATATTTTATATGTATTTATATGTATTTATATTTTATATTTATTTATATTTATATTTATATTTATTTTATATTTATTTATATTTATATATATTTTATATATATTTATATTTATATTTATTTTATATTTATTTATATTTATATTTATATATTTTATATATTTATATTTATATATATCTTTATTTTTATATTGATCAGGAGGCACCTTTGACCCTTTTGGGACCAGGATCCTGTTTCGGGCTGTGCGTGTCAGTTAATCGTGATGGATGCGATTGCTTTTCCCGAAGGTTTTCTTTCTTTTATTTTATTTTTTTTTTTTTTTCTTTTTGGGTCGCACCCGGCAATGCACAGGGGTTACTCCTGGCTCATGCACTCAGGAATTACTCCTGGCGGTGCTCAGGGGACCACATGGGATGCTGGGAATCGAACCGAGGTCGGCCACATGCAAGGCAAACGCCCTACCCACTGTGCTATCGCCCCAGTCCCCTTTCTTTATGTTTTTTAAGCTGGCATCTCCCAGGGTTGGAGCCCCAAGTTTGACACCCAGGCCTGCACTGCTGGGCGTGGCCCCAAACCAAAACAATAATAATAATAATAATAATAGCTAAGTTGCAAGAGCAAGGCATTGGAAGGACCTAAAAGAGAAAGGGTGCTGCGGCTGGAGCAATAGCACAGCAGGTAGGGCATCCTCGGACACTGGTTCGATTCCCAGCATCCCATATACTCCCCCAAGAACCATCAGGAGGAGTTCCTGAGTGCATGAGCCAGGAGTAACCGGGTGTGACCCCCCAAAAAACAAAACAAAAACAAGAGAAAAGGTCCTATCTCCCCAGGCTCCCAGAATACTTTTTTTTTCCTTTCTTTTTTATGTCTGGAGGCCACCCTGTCATTCGTTGCTCAGGGCTTACTCCTGGATCTGGGCTCAGGAATTAATTCCTGACGATGCTCAGGGAACCATCACAAATCACAAATCATCCTGTTAGTCGTCGATTGCCTCGAGCAGGCTCCAGTAACGTGTCCTTCATCCTAGCCCTGAGATTATATTCAAGGCTCTTTAGGAGAATGAGACCCATCATTGTTACTGGTATTTGGCATATTGGGGACGCCACGGGGAGTTTGCCAGACTCTGCCAAAGGGAACCATATGGGGTGCCAAATATCAAACTTTGGTCGGCAGGTACAAGGCAGGTCCCTTCCCCTCTACTCGCTCACCAACCCTTCCCCTATTGGAGGGGCTGGAGCAAGGGTACATCAAGTAGGGTGCTTGCCTCCCACGCTACCAACCTGGGTTTGACCCCCAGCATCAGGGATGGTCCCCTAAACCCCACCAGGAGTAAATCCTGAACAAAGAGCCAGGAGCATCACCGGGTGTGGCCCAAGAACCAACCAACCAAACAAAAAATTGTCATACATATTTGGGCAGGAGGGTGTAGAGAAACAGCAGTGAATAAGAGATGGTGTCCTTGGAGACCAGAGAGCTAGTTAAGGCATTTGCCTTACATGCTGCTCACCCCTGATAGCACAGCGGTTAGGGCGTTTGCCTTGCGCGCAGCCAGCCTGGCCGCGCCAGGTTCGATTCCTCCGCCCCTCTCGGAGAGCCTGGCAAGCTACCGAGAATATTCAATATGCCAAACACAGCAACAAGAAGTCTCACAATGGAGACGTTACTGGGCCCGCGCGAGCAAATCGATGAACAACAGGAGGACAGTGTTTGTTTGACAGTTGCTGGCCCCAGTTCGATTTCAGGCACTTCTGATGGTCTCCCTAAACATCCCCAGGTATAAGCCTTGAGCACCTCCCGTGTGACCAACAAAGAAAAAGAAATGGTTTCGTTATATAAGGAAGCTTTAACCTTGGATAGCAAACAACTACAGTAAGAGATGGCATACGGTCTGCAGGAGGCAATCAGCATTTGGCGGGTTGAGATGTTAGAAACTTCATTTTAGGCTAGGAACTACGTGGAGGAGTTAGCTTTTCTGCTGGCTTTCTAAAATGACCTGGTAGTGAAAGGGAAGAAGATTAGGAAAATAGCAAGTGCAAAAGTCCTTCTCAGAGGCTGCAAAAGGAAGTGGATTGCAAGTTTCACTTTGAATGTTTAAGCCAGAAATTTTAAGTACTCAGCAAACCTGCTTCATGTTCTTATTCACTCTCCTATGCTCCCCAGTGCCTATCTAACAGGTTCTTTTCTGTCCCAACCACAAGTATTAATTTAAAAAAAAATTTTGAGAGAACAGATGACTGGTTAAAGAAACTTTGGTACATTTACACAATGGAGTACTATGTAGCTGTTAGAAAAGAGAAGTCACGAAATTTACATACAAGTGGGACTGCATGGAAAGTATCACGTTAAGCAAAATGACTCAGAAAGAAAGGGATAGACATAGAAAGGTTGCATTCATCTGGGGAACATAAAGCAACAAAATAGGAGACTAACACCCAAGAATGGCCGAGATTAGTACCAGGAACTTTACTCCATGACTTGGAGGTCAACCACACATACTAGGGGAAAAGGGAGCTCAGAGAGAGAAGGGAACACCCAATAAAGGTGTTGGGAGGATCCTCCCAGGATGGGAGAGGCATGCTGAAAGTAGACTATAGACCGAACATGATTGCCACTCAATGCCTCTTTTGCAAACCACAGCACCCAAAAGGAGAGAGAGAACAGAGGGGAAAGCCCTGCCACAGAGGCAGGGTGGGATGGGGGGATGGGGGGGTGGGAGGGATACTAGGATCCGTGGTGGTGGGAAATGGGCACTGGTGGAGGGATGGGTATTTGATCATTGTGTGATTGAAACCCAAGCACAAAAATGTGTAAGTCTGCAACTGTACCTCATGATGTCTCACTATTAAAAATTTTTTTAATAAAAAAAAATTTGAGTCACAATTAGTGATGCTCAGGGCTTACTCCTGGCTCCGCACTCAGGAATTCCCCCTGACTGGGGATTGAAACTAGGCTGGCTGCGCTCAAGCAAAGAACCTACCCCCTGTACTGTCACTCTGGCCCCCCCACTAGTATTCCTTCCTCCAGTTCTTACTCTCAGCTGTTGGTTTACTTCATTGAGAAAAAGGAAATAATCAGAAGATAAAATTCATTCCTTACCAACAGGTCTACTCATCTACTCTGATTGCATTCTGTCTGCCTTTTTCTATTGTTAAAACTGAATGGATTGGGGAGAGAGAGAGGGAAAGAAGGAGGGAGAGAGAGGAGAGAGAGACAGAGAGAGGGAGAGAGAGAGAGGCACTTGCCTTCCATGTGGCCCACCCATATTCAACCCCCCAACTGCACATGGTCCCTAAGCTCTGCCAGAAGTGATCCCTGAGTGCAGAGCTAAGAGTGAGCCCTAAGTCCCGTGGAAGGTAGCCCCAAAACAACAACGATGAACTGTGGGGCCAGAAAGCCAGTAAGGCGATTTGTCCTTGCAATACAGCGGACCCTGGTTCAATCCCTGGCACTACATACATTCCCCGAGTCTGCCAGGAATGATCCCTGAGCACAGAGCCAAGAGTAAGGCCTGAGTACCACTGGATGTGGCCCCCCAAGTAAAGAATTTTGGGACGTGGCAAACCCACGTCCAATCCCTGGCACCATATATAGTTCCCCAAGCGTGATCCCTGAATGCAGAGCCAGGAGTTCTGAGCACCACTGTGTTCTGTCCCAAAACGAAAACTAAAACTTAAAAATAGCAAGTTTTTTGTCCTGGAGCACACCCCTTGCGTGTCGGCACCCCCTCCCCAGTCCTGTGGTGAATCCTCTGCGCAGCGTAGCCCCCCAGCCGTGGGCCAACACCACAACAGGCTTCCCCAGAGCACAGCTGGGTGTGACCAAAACCAACTTAAAAAAACAAATCTTGCTTTTCTCTTTCTTCGCTCACTTATTTCCTCCCTGAAGAAGTATGTGTTCTCTCTTGAACACAGTTCCCCTCTTTTCTCCTCTCACATCTAAGCAAGTTTCAGTCAAAAACCATCTTGTGGGCCAGAATGATCGTACTGTGGTTAGGGTGCTTGCCTTGCATGCAGCTGACTCAAGTTTGATCCCCAGCATCCCGTGTAGTGTCCAAAGTCTGCCAGGAAGGATTCTCGAGTGCAGAGCCAAGTATTACCCTGAGAACCTCGAAGTTGGCCCAAAAACATAAACAAAAAAACTTTTTTTTTTTTTTTAAAAAACAGGGCCACAGAGATGGCTCAAAGGGCTTGAATGAATACTTTGCTGCAGGCGATCCTGAGATAGGGGGTGTGACCCCTCACCTCAGCACCCAGGTGTGATGGTCACACCCATCTCCAATAAAATGACTTTCATAGAAGGGATATGAAGTTTCCTAAAACCAAATTGTGTGTGTGTGTGTGTGTGTGTGTGTGTGTGTGTGTGTGGCAAATCATTTTATTTCGGGAAACAGAACAAGGGAGACA